ATTTCTTTCTAGGTTAATTCACGGTCGCTAATAGTTGCCCTGTCGCGCGAGTATCACGTTTCAAAAACACAAGTAAAAACACATCCACAACAACCGTTTTTGCGATCTTGTATTTGTTATCGCGACGAGCATTATATATTTTGATATAAGTTTTAACAGGTAGGCTTATCACTAGCCCACCAGGCAACCAAGGAACCAAGTTAAGGTAGCCCGGAGCATTTTCGCTAGAATGATTTGTACGCCGGGCTAGTACTATTTCGAGGCCTGATAACCTGCCTTCCTGTTCCAACTGAAATCGAACCCATGAAATACGGACTGATATTATTTTAGGTGAAAGAGATATTCACAGATCCATTTGTTCTGGGTGGATTAAGGGCGCTTTTCACATTCCATCAAAAGCAATGTAAAATCAACTAAGTTCGGGGCTCGCCGTGCAAACCAAAATAACTGGAGTTTCTCAAAACTATTGTCTTGTCCTTAGTATTTTTATATTTTTTCAATTTCTGTTGGACGACCCAATCCACCCAAAACAGCCCCCTCCCCCCAAAAAAGTGATAGTTCACAAACTGCACTGCAGGCAGCCATGTTTTACGTGGTCTCCCTCTGCTTTCTGGAGCACTTTAATTTCCTTTCACCCCTACCATGTGGATCTGACCATTACCAGCACCACTAATCTGATATCTAAGTCCAGACCCATAATTTCCAGCTGTAATTTTATCAACTCTGCCCTCAGATGGCTATCCCAACAAACAAAGGACTTGACCCTGACCTATATGCCTATTTACGCGGTCCTATCCTTTTTTCCAGGCCAATCTCCTCTTTCAAAAGAAACTGACGGGGACACTTTTCATGCACAGATGAACTCACAGAAATTATCACTTAGGGTCTATATTGACCCTTCGGATCCATGAAACCACTGTCCTGACATTAACAAGAGTTCACCGGCGGCGCGGCACGCACGTGACGGTTCAAGGTTGCGGCAGGCCAGTAAATAGGCTGAAAACTGTATGCATTGTACGTGGCCCAAATCACAGTTCGTACCGCACTCAAATTCTCAGTATACGAAATAGAGCATTCTGTGGCCCATGAACTTAAATATTTGTAGAAAAAATAGGTTTATGCAAAGAAAACGAATGCCTTTCAAAAAGGCGAGGGGCTTCGTGCCGGACTTCGGTTCAAGTTTTACTATTACCATGGAGGCAGGACACGGGCCCACGGGGTAACCTTCCGTGGAAAAAAGTCTTCAAATTCATCGGTTATCAATGGAAATTTGGAAAGAAGATGAATAATCATAAAATGGGCTTTAATTTGATTGGGGTCTTGAACACCTGAGAAACTCGTATTTTCCTGACCGATTTTTTGAAGTTCAGGTAAATTTTATCAATATATCACTGTTGGCTATGACAGTCTGTGCGGTCTACTGACTGGCCTGCAGAGTGATGGCGCCCTCAATATACTTGTTTACATCTGCCAAGACAACGTAGTGTTTCTTTCTTCCGAGAAGCGAGCACTTTCGGCAACGAGAAAAGGACCAGACTGCGAACATTGAAGCGAGTTCACTTCTCCACTAAGGAGGTAGGCCTACAAATGTACGGTTGTAATGTTTTACGCCTGCAAAGAAAAACATAAATTGCTTAGTCGTCATTTTTAGCTGCCCAAAACGCTGTCCGAAAACTGGACAAAATATCCAATTGACATTGTATGTACATGTACATAGGCCTCAACCTTATTGCGAATACTGCATGGGTGACATTGCACAATGGTAGAAAGGCATTGTGGAAAGGAAAAAGGGGGCAGTGTTTACTCCTTTTTCCTTCCAACAATGCCTTTCTACCATTGCAAAATCACTGATGCAGTATTTGTGATAAGGCTGGTAATAGCCTAGGTCAGTCTGTCTGTCTAGTGCTGGGTAAATGTGTTTTGAAGTCCTAGGCCTACTTTAGTCATGTTTGTTGGCAGACATGGCAGAAGACAGAGAGAAATTAACCTCATAAATGAGAGCCAAAATGTGCACAGCAAATGTCCACAAATCGCTTTTTCGCTCAGCCATGTCAAAAGATAGCTCTTGTGTGTGGCAGGTTTAAGCCTGGAACCAAAGATTTCTGACAGTATAAATTTGTACTGATATAATACACCTACATGTATTGTTGATTAATGCAGCTGTCAAGATGCAAGTTGCTTGTGTGTGTGGCATTGAGGTAAAAAGTGAGAAAAAAATGTGGCATTGATGCAGTGAAGTGCAGTCTTATTCCAAATTCAGCGCATTATTTCAAAGCAAGAGTCATGGATTAATGAAAAATTACTGATGATGTTTCATGAACTTAACATTTATAGCCTAATTTGGTGTCAAAGTTTTGCTTGAAAAAGTATAACAAATAGGACAAAACTTTGGAGCCTTGCAGTGTGAGTGGCACATTGGAAACACGTCTATATTTCATATCAGCCTGCTGTCTCAAAGGTATATGTGACCTGTTACAACAACCTGAGAGTGAAGTCGCATCTCGCTCTTTCCTGTTTTGAGGGTTCAAAGTCATATTGAAGTGGAGGTCAATTTTGAAGCGGAGGTCAATTTTGAGGTTTTGAAATATTTGGAAAGAGTAACCCATCTTCTCTTTGATTCCAAATATTCTGCAGGATCATATATTGAGAAGGGTAATTTTCTCAGCAATTTGATGATAGCATTATTTTTACCTGGTCTGAAATACTGAAAATATGCAAATATGAAAAGACGCCAAGCTGCCAAAATAATGTCACAATGTCACCTGATACTTCTACCCTAAGTGTTCCATGTACATACAACTGGAAATCTCTTTTTCTGCTGAATTCAAAAATACCAATATCTCAGTTTTTTTAAATTCTGACTTTCAGCTCATTTTGTGGTGACAGGTCACATAAAGGCAAGGGGGTGACTTGGCCAGGCAGGGAGTTGATATTCTCATAGGGGATGAGTTGGCCAGGCTAGGGAGCAAGTTGACCAAATTTCAGATATTTGGCAGATTAGGGAGTTTGTCTAGTCATGCCACTTTTCCGTCTGGATTAAGCTTACACTCATGATATTGATATCATTGGATTCTGGTATTCGTGGACATAACACCTACATTTTGACATGTTCTAAGTACATGAATTTTTAATCTTTTTCCTTTAATTGTTTTGAATCAGCATTGTTCCTCCTAATCCTTGGCAGTGAGAGAACATGGAGCAGTATACGATTCTTGGAAGGATAGGTGAAGGTGCACATGGTATTGTGTTTAAAGCCAAACACATTGAGGTAGGACTGCAGGACTTTGTCAAGATTTACTCAAGATTTTTAATTACTTCATTGCCTGGTTGTCATCTAAAAGGTACAAGGCGGAGGCAAAATGAGGAATTCCTTGATATTTAGTCTAAAATCATCTGTCTTGCTACTCCATTGATGTAATTTTCAATGCTACTGCTTTTATGCTGGTTAGGATATTAAACTTCTTTAGACTAGAAGATTTGGTTGTAATTTTGTTTTCCATAGAGTGGTGAAATATGTGCATTGAAAAAAGTTCCATTGCGGAGACTGGATGATGGAATACCAAATACAGCATTGAGGTAAAGTCTATCATTTGAGGAACATTTTGGTTGAACTTTAGAACTTTCATGTAGCATACATGTACCATTGGAATTTTTGAGTTAAATCGTGTAAAAAGAGGTGTAGTTAAGTAGGTTGTTCAGTGAGGAGATTTTCGGATGTCAAAGAAAGACACAGTGATGGAAGTATTTCTTGAACCACCTGTTACCTTGAGAATTGGGATTGTATATCACTTGTCCTTGTTACTTTTTACCCTCCAGGGAAATTAAAGCTCTGCAAGAGATTGAGGAAAATCCTTATGTAAGTTTTGTTATCAATAATTTTTAAATTGGATTGATTAGCTGTCAGAATATGGTCACCTGCCTTATCTAAGCGAGCTTTCAATAAATGAGTAACTTGGATTGCATGTAATTCAATTAAATGAAGGTGAAATTATCAAGAATTGTATTCTGAGAAAAGTTTCTTGTGTGTAATAAATAAAACAAGAAGGCACATCGTAAGGGCGTAACTTAAAACACAAATTAAAAACAGCAGAGACTGCTTGAAAGCAAAAGTGAAAGCGTCGTCTTTCAAGAAGAAGGAGAAATTACTTCAAAGTGTTCCTGTCTGTCCAGACTTGAAGCACCTGTCACTGGCAAAGAAGAGATAGACGGGTGGAATTGATCCATCTGGGTGCCTGGAGCACATAGGAACATGCAAATAGATATTAGTCGACTGCAAACATGTGCATGCATGGAGTGAGCCCTACCAAAGGATGCAGTCATTTTTACATGAAAGAATGCCCCCTCTCTTGTCGAGAGCTACGTAGGTTGGATGGTATTTCACTTATGTGATCTGCTGCAAGTGGGAACTGTGTTTGATAGTCTTTTTCGTGGGATCTCACTTTCTGAGCGTGCAGTACGCATGACCACTTTATGTTGGGATGTATGGACTTTGCATGTGCGTTGGAGCCTGGGCACATGCCCAAGCTCAGTTAAAAAACTTCCAACACCGCAGTCTCTACTTTGCCGGTGAGAGCGCACTTCAACTCGGGGGGATCACTTCCAGAGTGGAAGTACTTGGTTGTCAAAATTGCTTCTCAGAAGTGACAGAGATCGGTGAAGACGAGTAGATTCCCCAATTATCTGAAGGCCACCCATTAAGGGTGCGTTCAAGCGAGCTACTTGTGTTAACACGGGTATACTTGTGAGCGCTCAAACGGCTGGAGTACGACCCGAGCGTCAGCGAGTATACTCTTGCTAGAGGGGAGTATACTCCTGCACCGGAGTGTAATGCGCATGCATCCTACGTGTACTTGTGTTAACAAGAGTAACCATGCAAACACACCCCTAATATTTTCCCACCCTATCAGGTTGTCAAACTGCGGGAGGTATTTCCCCATGGCACTGGGTTTGTGCTCGTCTTTGAGTACATGCTGTCCGACCTGTCCGAAGTGGTCCGTAACTCACAGCAGCCGTTGACGGAGGCCCAGGTCAAGAGCTATATGATGATGCTGCTGAAGGGGATTGCCTACTGCCACGAAAACTCCATCATGCACAGGGTGGGCTTACTGTTCATCGTAATGCAGATACACATCCAGATTGACTCACTGTAGGATGGATTATCTTCTTAACCCCAAATATGCGATTGAATTTCCTCACAATTTATCTTTGGTTGCTTTGAACCCAATTTATGGCTTAGCTAAGCACGAAGTAAAACATTCTGTGCTTACAGTGTTGGCACAGAAACTCTGCCTGAACTCAGTAAGCACAGAAACCTTAATTGTGGAATTCATGCATGTAACCCAAGCAACAGGTGTTGATTGCCTGGCTGTTCAATTGTTCATCAACCGAAAGTAGCAAGTAACGGCTGAAAGAATGACCAAACACCTGTGCATCCCGTTTGAATTCTGGACTTGATTTGTTTCATTAATGATCTTAATTGATTGGTTTCCTGTTTAGGATTTGAAACCAGCTAATCTGTTAATCAGTGAGACGGGACACCTGAAGATTGCCGACTTTGGCCTGGCGAGGGTATTCAGTAATGAGGAAGGCAGACAGTACAGCCACCAGGTGGCAACAAGGTATATGAATATGCAATATGTAAATGAGATGCATAATTAGCACTGGCTCATTTTCTAATGGAGTTGCACAACAGGCAGAGAAAAGGCATGGCCTTGGGTCGATGCCAAGTACATGTGCTCTTGTAATATTAGTTAAAAGAAGAAGGGCTGGATTTGCCTCGTGTTTGGCTGCCATCCAACAGCCCACATAAAATAGGTTGTGTGAAGCATTTAAAGACTAGTTAATATAACGGTTTTTCTTGCTTTTTACAGGTGGTACAGGGCTCCTGAATTGTTGTATGGAGCTAGGAAATATGACGAAGGTGTTGATCTCTGGTAAGTTGCAATAACTGGCATCAACATTTGAAATATTCAGTTTTCTACACTCTTAACAGCTTCAGTAGGAAAAGGCTTCTTTCGCCATGAAAGGCTTAGTTAGTCTGCCCCCTCAATCACTTAGCCCCACCCACAAGAGATACCACCATTCTCATTTCCACCATACTGCCATCTTGGCATTGTTTCCTGAAGACTAGAGCTTCAGCGTGGAAGATTCTCTCATTCCAGGGCAGTTGGCTGCATCTTCGGAGAGCTTCTCAATAACTCCCCACTCTTCCCCGGAGAGAACGACATCGAGCAGCTATGCTGTGTGCTACGTGTGTTGGGAACACCCACTGAGAAGACATGGCCGGTAAGCTGTCCAAAGTCACGTTTTTCTCCACTTCCATCCCTGATTAAACTCTGACCTAGTCTTCCAATCAGATCCACTCCATGACAGGCAAGATTGCTGATACAAATTCTGATTTGTTTGAACAATAATTGTACAGCGTTTCTTTCACATATTTACAAACCCTGGGCCAGAGAAATATTTACTTCCATTACAGGCTATGTGCAGCCATCAAGTTCAAATTCAAAACCCTGTCCATCTCAACGGACTTCTTCGACTCAGTGTGCACATAAAAAACAAACGGGAGGCACGCTCAACATTTTAATCCATCAGCCTATCCTATGTATGCAGATAGCCAGATGATGTTCACATGTCCTGCGGTCACTCCTTTCTTTTGGACATATAGTTGAGTAATGCATTGCCGTAACACTTTGTTGTTTGTGGCATGTACTTGAAGGGAATGGAGCAGTTGCCAGACTACAACAAGATCACATTCCCAGAGAATCCGCCCATACCATTTGAAGAGGTGGTACCAGACGCATCACCAGAGGTACGAACTGCTCTTTGATTCACTAGTCCTCAACTGTATCGTGTATGCCATTCTGTTTTGAAGAAGAACATTTCTGCCCACAGTTTGGCAAGATGTATAAAGCTGTTGAACTAATCAGACATGAACAAGAAGCCGTATATTTATTTAATTTTGAAGCGTAAGCACCGTTTTCCCTTCTCTTTAAATCAAAAGAACATTCAAGCTCAAGAAAGGCCCCTGACATGTTTCATTCTTCGCAGTTTCTTTTAAGTTTTCTCGTATTCTCTCCATTTCTGCTTGCTTATGAGGTTTTTGTAATGAAATACTTCTGTTTGTGGTGCAGGCCCTGGACTTGTTGAAGAAGTTTCTTGTGTATCCTTCAAAGCAGAGGATATCTGCGGCAGAGGTGAGCAGGCTATTAAAGCACTTGGCGTTTGGTCTTCAAAAAGAAAAAGACTGAAAGGGGTATTCAGTTCACGAAACTTTTGGTGGAGTTGTTTTCACGTTTCATGATGGCCCTTTGTGGCAAATATTTTACTTGTACACTCACCAGTTTGTGCCTACAGTCAAGTCTTCTGAGAATGTTTGAGATCTTTTAAAGAGGTTAAAATGCCACTTGGAGGGTTTGTTGAATTTTAAAGATTTAAGGAGGAAGATTCAAACCACTCTCATTTGCACGGGGAGTGCCACTACTTAAGTACAAAATACAAAGAATGAGGCTCAAACACCAAGAATGTGACCTTGGATGTTTCCTCCTCAGTAGTGGATGTTTGAGGGTCCAGGAAAGTTCCTTGTATATTGTATTTAGAGTAGGAAATTATATTGGGAATAGGGATTTACAGTTCTGCACTGTGTGCAGTGATACTGAACGCTCCCTCGCCAAATGAAATCTGTGAAGTGCTTCTACAATATGCGCTTCTGTTCTGGATAAGTTGGGTGCTTCTACTAACAACAGTGAACTACCGTAAATCCCGACAGATTACATGTCTTCTTTCCCATCTTGCTCTTTGGTAGGCCCTCCTGCATCCGTACTTCTTCACCGAACCTCTGCTGGCCCACCACTCTGAGCTACCCATTCCCAAGCACGGCAAGAAAGTGCGACATCGCGGCCAGAACCCCAAAGAATACGACATTGATGTTCCGTTGGAGCAGTCCCTGGTGGATCCAGACTTGCTGACTCCGTTTGTCTGATCAGCTCAAGGAAAGAAGCTGACGTACAAAGACTGCAGGATCTGTGCTCTCTGTACATGTGCTATTCAGTGGTGACGAAGAGAGACTAGAATCATACCAGTGATATCATTTGCCTTTGACCCCTTGTAGAGGATGAAAGTCACTTTTGTACACAATCCGATGAAAATTCTGTATTGAGAACTCTGGGCCCATATGTGAGCTAGTAGACAGGCATGTTATTCCTCCATGCCTGGACCCGAGAAAAAGCAAAGTCAACAAAGTGAAGACATTAGGAGGACTTGCCCAGGTCTTCATAAAGTTGTCCTCTCAGAAAAAGAGTTTTAGAATAATTGATGGGGTCAAAATGAAGAGGAATAATGAAGGAAATTAGCATTAAACTGATTTGCATAATTGCTCATGCACACTGCTCAGAACTGGCACACGCAAGCGATTTGTCACCCCAACGGAGATCATTGCTTAGGTAGATTCCTCGCCACATGGATGGAGCTGGCCCCCAAACTAAGTCCAGGGGGTAACCAGAAAGTGGCAATGAGTGTTGAACATGTGACTGATGGTTTTGTTCTTTTTTATTTTATTTATTGGAGAGAGAAAATAAATATGTATATACCTGAACTGACGGGTATTAAAATGGCAGCTGTTTTTACATGTGTCTCAGCAATTCTCTTGTGATTTACATCAGGAAAGCATGACGGTGTTTCTGTCATGCCGGACCAGCTGTCAAGTATTGATCAGATGTCTAGCCATCGAGTTTTTATGCATCCCTTCATTTCAAAATAACTTAAGGGAAATTTTAAAATGTCTGGGTGAAACTGGAATTTCAGAATGAACAGCCAAAACATAAATGGCCAGTTGTTGCCAACGCCAAGTATTCCTTCCTTTGTGCTTAGTCTATGGAGCAAAAATTAGATCTTTACCATGGGCGTTGCCAAAATTTGTTTCAGCATTTTGTCAGCAAACTGACAAACCATTAACTGTGGAAGGAGGTCAGATCTGTTTTTTTTTCTCTTTTCTGTTTCCAACTTTTCTTCTGGGGGAGGGATGGGGCAAGCACCCCCCCCCACTTCTGATATGCCAATAGCCCAAAAGATGTGACCCTATGAGACACCATTCCGGACACGACTGATCCATATTCATATGATTATGGATTATTCAATCTACGTGCAAGAATTTGGAACTTGGCTGAGGAGTTTTTGCCTGTGATTTTTTCCTCAACGTGTAGGCCATTTAAGTGAGTGATCTTCATGATATGTTACATTTGTTCTGGCTGAAAAATAAATCCACCAAGTCGTTGAGGTATGCCATTGTTTCAGTTTACAATTGCATATCCATGGTGAAGTGTTTTTGTTGTCAATAAAACTTCCAGGTGATAACAAATATCAAACCATTTTCTTTTTCTAAGAAATGGCCATTTTAGTCTGGTCAGCGAGTCCGTTTGTGTCATTAATCATTGTATGGAATAGCAGAGGTTAGAAAGAAGTCATTTGACTGCGTACAAAAAATCATACTACATGTAAAATATTAGGGAAAATATCGGGGACTATGAGTGATATTGTGTCATCGTGGTCGGCACCGACTTGCGTGTCGGCTGTTGGCAGTACCCCTAAAAGGGGAGATCACGCAATTTCTTCAAAGACATCGCAGTAAATATCCATGTCCATTATGAGATGCTTTGAGCACTGAGCTGTTGCCAACTGCTGTCTTAGGGCCACATAAACTGTAAGCGTTAGCGGCTTTCTGCTATGATGGGGACAAGTTATGAGCACATCCAAAATGGCAGATACATAGGTACAAACAATCTCAGTTTACATTTACCTGAAGTAATAGCTGTCAACATAATTGAAGAGAGCTGACTGAGAGTAGTCGCTCCAAGTGGGAACAAAAGAGGGCTTGTTTTTAGATGAAATTGAAAGCCCGTTGGTACAAACCAGGGGTGTGAGTGGCCACTTAAAAATAAAGCTGAAAATAGCTAGCAAGAAGCTGAAATGTAAGAAGTCCTCATACGTTTGTACCCAGCAGGTGCACATAAACGCTGAAAATGAGGCTCAACATCTAAACAAAAAAAGCTGAAATCGGCTAAAAAGTTAAATTTTCACACATCTGGTACGAATTCCCTGTGTAGGCGTGCAAGTTCACATGCGTTTGGTGCAGGGCGCACCGAGTATGCGCAACGAAAATATGCTAGAACGTATCTTCGAGTGTGTGCCGAACGCATGCAAGGACCCAGTTGGAAAACTTTGTACCAGGCAGGCCTTGTTTTGCTGGTGAGGGTGCACTTCAACTTGCGAAGGATTGCAGGTTCCCATGGCGGCCATCTTGCACGCCAGTGCACAAAAGAAGTTTCCCTGTGGAACAAACCAACTGCCCTGCAAGATGGCTACCACGCAAGGCATTTATCGACTAGGTTAGCTGCGGTAAAAGAGTGGGCACCTTGGTTGATCAAATTCACAATGGAGTGCATTTCTTGTCTTAATCTGCAGGTTGATAAGTATATGGATGTCAATATGTAATACAAGAGACTTTTTTTTCCCTTTTTCGTAAATTTATTGGAGAAGCAAGGAAGAATGGAAAAATAAAATATGTACACACATTAAACTCCACGACAGAGTTTTAAACTGCAGCTATTTGTTTCTCCTTAACTCCAGTGCTTTCAATGAGCAGAGGCAGGTTTTAGGTACCTGTACAAAGTGGCATTTATTTGGCAACAAGTGCACATTGATTCCCTTCTACAAATAATATTCAACAGTGCTTTGTAGAATTTCTAAATTTTGAGTTATATGTCAGCTCTCAATGCACATAGCAAACACTGAATAATATTTGACCATCTATAAATATTGACTTGTGAAAAGAATACCCCCCCAAAGAAAACTAAATGAATCAAAGAGGCATGGGGAGTCGGAATCTGCTCTTTATAATAATCTATTTCAAAGAGATCATTTCACGGAAAGTAGACCAGTCTTTCAGTTCAAAATACATGCCTGTTAAAATGAAAGACTTGAAGTTTTTTATATTCAGTGTTTGCTGACTGCAGGGATGTGGTCAGAGGGATGTTCATGTCTGACAAGCAAAGTAAGGACACTTATAAATCTCATCAAAGCAGTCAACAGTTATCTATATTGCATCAATAAATCAACAAGGAAAGGGCCTTATTCTGTGAGGTATGACTTTTACATTACAATGTCCAAGTCACAATGAAATCACAACATCAAAACTGTTCACCAAGAGTATATACTGTACATGTTACAGTGTCTTCAACACAAGCAACTTTCCTAATTTTACCAGTCAGCATCCTGTACAAATTTCTGTGGCACGGCAAGAAAGCGTTCTAGAAGGTAATAAACGTCAATGTATGTGTTTGTTCAAGAGGACTGGATCACAGTAATCACGTCCATTACCTCAATCTGACAATCTTTGCTGACTGTCTTCCACTGAACCAAAAAGGCAAATGAAAATTAATGCTAAAATCATGCACAGGTACATTTACATTGGAACATTACATAATCTCCCAGAAGCAAAACTGTAAAACAGGGTTTAAAAAAGATAATCCTATTTTAAGGAGTTCAAATTCCAAATGATATTATATGTCCAAATGATAATGGAAAGTACCATGATCTTAGTTAAAAGTCCTAAATAAAAATCCTGTTCGTTATTGTTATATGTTTTCGATGATACACACTGATTTCATTTTCTGGCTCATATGTAATTGAGCACCATTTTTCTAAAAATGTGGCACAAAATTGGGGTTGGGACACTCTATTTAGGCCAAAGTTGTCGCTGTGTGTGTGCTAACATTCCAAATTAACTAAGCACAGAAGAGAAGAGGAAGATTTTTTTCCCCATTTATCACCCTCTCTTGCAGGTGCGGGGCTTGGTGTGTCAAAACTGGCACAGTGTTGAGAAACTGGGCTTGGTGAAAGGGTTTAAGAATTGTCTGTTGAACCCTGGGGTTGTTCAAATGGTTTGGTTAACACGACAGAACACAACAGGGAATAAACTTCTCTTATGGCGTAAATTTGGAGTGAGCCTTTGTAAAGCACAGGCTTCCTCTTTACAATGATACCAAGGTTTTTGCCAGTAAATATAAAATATGTAGTTGGGATGTATAAACTCTTCAAACTAAGATACCTTTTCTTTGAAACACCCTCTTTGGCTAACCGTTAAGATTCTGACATTTAACTCTTAAACTTGATAACAAATCAATGCTGTTAAAATTGTTAGTCACAGAACAAATTCAATCAAAAGAAAAACTAAATCTCTACAAAAATAAGCTTTTACTATAGAGCTAAATACAAAAAGTAGAACACTAACCTTTCATTGTCTGTGTTGAGAAAATTTGACACCGTCCTGGGCGCAGACATTTTGAATCTATGTGCATGCTTGTCAAATATTCAAAATCGATGGAATGGATATCAAATTATGTATTCTAATAGCCATGCACAAGTACAACATACACAAATATCAGCGCGTCATTTGAATAAGGCGCACACGTACAGAGCAATGGCACATTTATTACATGCATACCTGATTGTTATTATAAAACAGATCTTTCCCCAACATTCAAGCAAGGTTGTCCGATTTCGTATGCATATCTTTCGATGGCCGTCTTTTGATATGTTCAGCTAATTAAGTTGTTCCCTTAATTCAGTCAGTGTTCAGTGAGTTGACAGCTCTGGAGCAGCAGATGTCATGCACATTGGGAACGGATAAAATCCAATTTTTAAAAAGTGTCACGGCAAAATTCTTGTTCTTGTGCAGCGCATACATGTATGTGTCCGCGTTTGTGTTTTTTGGCGCAGAGCAAAATGAAATGCTCATTTACTGATGTGCATTTGGGTCATTTACGTATCGACTTTGTTGACGTTTCGTTTTGAATACGGATGCAGATATGCAAATAGCCGTACAAAAGCCGTACAAATCGTGAGTTTCGGTAGGTTTGGGCACAAACATGGACGCACCCAGCAGACATCACTTCGTACATGAGTCAGCACTCTTGGTTTTTATATATAGCTCTATGGCTTTTACATACATAATTTCCCATTAATCATTAATTTCCCCTTTAGCCACATAACATTACTTATGCAAAGAACAGAAAACCTTCAAAGAAACTAACAAAAATAATGTACAAAAAAGAATTTCAGAAACCTCCAGTTTGGCTCAAGTCTATTCCCTCTCACAACTCTCGTTATAAAAATCCTAAGACTGAAAGAAACTGCTTTTTGATGTGTGCAGTGTGCAAACATGTTTAAGTGCCAACATAAACAGGATGTCTGTAATGCATACTAGGGTACATCAACTATACACATATTAGCAACTAGATGTTGAGATAAACTCAAACACTCTGCTCCTTAAAGCATCACGTGGTTTTCAACGCTGAAGTTAAACATAAGCTTATTGCAACACTTACAGAAGGATTTGGGAGACTTCATGAACACGCACATGGTCAGACGTGCTATGGTTTGTAAAAACTGCACCAGGCTGCAGATATGCAACTTCGTTATCTGACTCTGTATAATTACACGGCAGTACCCTTAAAGTTGTGCAATGCAGGATCAATCCTTGCAAATGTACATGACAGACCAGCGTTCAACTCACAGTCTGGTCCCCCGCATTCTTTTGAATACTTAATATAAAGGAAGGTGAGGTGTACATGAATCCAGCACACATGAATCACACTTTTGTTCAGCTATGGGCAAGTTCGAATGTAAACTTTGGTTCAACTATGGGTCACTTGCTTCCTGCATAACGTACAAGTAATTTGCATGCACATGAATGATCCCAGTAAACCTGGCCGAATGATTCTTTATAGAATCCAATCACCACTCTCATTATTTTGGGTTGATAGCATTTTCTGGCTGCTTTCATGACAGTCATGGCCACATCCATTATTTTCATGTTAACCCTAAAAGAACCGATTTTTTTGGGGGGGGGAGGGAAACTTGGGTGTCCCACATGCAATCTTGTTAAAACTCAGCATGCATGTAAAATCTCACATTATCAGTACAACTGTCATAACCATCATGTTTCAACTCAATCCAATGTAACGTTGTTACATGTAGGTCACTCTCTATCAAGCTTAAGATCTGTATCTACGAGTCAGGTGTGCTGAGTACACTGCTCTACTGCAGCGAAACATGGCCAACCTATCGCCGCCAGGAGCCCCCCCTGAATGCCTTCCATTTCCGATGCCTACGCTCAATACTTGGAATTTCTTGGCAGGACAGGGTCTCCAACCTTGCCATCTTGGAGCTCACGGGCACTAGCGATATATTCACACTGTTGTTGGCTCGCCGTCTCTGCTGGTTTGGACATGTCTCCAGACAAGATGATGGTCGCCTGCCTAAAGATATTTTCTATGGGGAGCTGGCTTACCCTTCTCGCCCCCGTGACTGTCCAAGACTGTGCTACCAGGATGTCCTTAAGCGTGACTTGCAGGCATTTCAAACCCCAGCCAACTCATGGGAGACACTGGCACAGGACTGGGTACGGTGGCGCTCCGCCACCCATTTAGGCCGCTCTACTTCCACAACCTCATACATCACTGCTTGCGAGAATCGTAGTTTAGCTAGACACCGAGCTACATCGTCGCATGTGATGACGGGATAGGCCACTATCTATCTCCAAAAATTGGCATTGCACAACAACGGTATGTAGGATTTTCACACCATGAGTGTCAAAAAGAAGGAAAGATGTTACCGAACAGCATGTGAAAAGAATGTACTGTGATAATACAAGAGTAAATGTCAAATGGGAATTCTGTCCCAGGTTCTTTTAGGGTTAAAGGTTGCCTCTGTACTTACTGGTTATTCCAAAAACATGTTATTGATGACCCTCAAGCCCCCGAGCCTCATTTGATATTGTAAAGACATCTGACCATCATATGGCTGACGATTATGTAGTTGAACAACAATATTATTATCTTAACCGCAATTCAAGATCCAACTTGTCCAACAAAGAACTGATGTACATTCCCTGGTATGCCCCACTTCCAAAATACATACGAATGAAATGACCATATGGAACCAGTGAAATCTACATGTGGTATTCTTCTTTACACAGCACAACAGCCTTTCCAACTTTTCACACAAAACCAATAAAACCATATAGGCGCCATATAGGACCACATATACACACTTTGCACAAAATGTTTGTGAGAAATAATATCCATCACTCAGACCCTTTAACTTTTCTCCTAATTTGCCGTAATCTTGATTTAATTCGATGTCTTAGTCATTTTAAATTAACCTGATGTCTGCTTATTATTTTAACTAATTTTGACCCATGTTTCTGAGACATGCGTCAACCAAAGTGGTCATTATTTAATCCCCGTCCAGTTTATGGTACATGTATATTCCTCGTACATGTTGTCCAGAGGAATCTCCATACATGTATGTGAACTTAGCGCGCACATGGGGCATTCTGCGTGCTGCGTTACCAGCAGACTCTTGACCAATTGGGGATAGATTAAACTTTCTCATATCCAGATGCCAGAGCATTTTTTATGCAGCGGGCATTATCAAATATTAATACATGGAAACGTTTAGCATTGTTGAATAGGGAAACTGTCTGAGGTATTTATGAATTACTTAAGCAAAATGTTTATCTTTAAAGTACAATTTCGTTTATGCTTCATTGTGCATGCACATGCATTGAAGTATTCACAATTCACTTTTTAAAGCCTTCTGTTACAAGTGTCGACGACATCGATTTCTTGACGACATTCTATCTACAAGACATATACAAGTAGGTAATAACTTGCAACTTGAGCACTCCACAAGGAGTTAAGTTAGAGGCAAGCTAAGAGTCTTCTCTCCCCCAAACAAAACAGAAATCTGGATTAACATGGGGTCACTGTTAGTAGAACAAAAAGGATACAATATTACATTTTCTACTTAACAGCTTCAACTCTGGCCAATGTACAGGCATATATGACCCACTCTGCGAAAATAAGTCTTAAGTCAACAGAGCTACCTGTACTTTGGAGTAAAAAGTGTTTTAGAATAATTTTGCACAGTGTAAATCAATAGGAACCCAAAGCATTTGTCACCATGGAGTATCCACTTTCATCAGGATGCCAAACTGAGTGATGCATCAAAACAAAAAACTCAATTTGCTCTTTCCAATACAAATGAAAATTCAAAAAGTGGCTCTGGCAACTTAAGACTCACTTTCACAGAGTGGGTCACATATGCCAAAGAGTGAAAATACACATACATGAACATACAGGCTCTTAATCCATCCAATGTGCTCTGCAAGACAGAGCACACTGGATAGATTTTTCTATCTGGCTCCCAATGAGCCAGTTTGGTATTTCATAAAAGCAAGGTCATTTGGAAACAAATAACATGCTTGAGTCCACGTGGGGCCCCAGTGAAAGGGCAGACCTTAGAGGGGCTTCATTTTGGGCATGCGCTGTTGGAATCCCGAACTAGTTCATTCACAACAGTCTGGGTCCTAACCCCTTCTCCTACACATTTAGAGCCAGGGGCTGTCATTAACTATCGGTACCATGCCCTAAATCTTAACAATAGACTTTCCACAAGCAGTTTTGTATTTGCTTGCACCTGTGCGCTTGTGCCCTCAAACTATTACGTGTGTTGTTCCAAGGTACATTTATAGACAATTTATGCACCTGTGAATTGTCCTCCCCCAAGGATGTAGTTTGGTCACAATTTTCAAGCCTTAAGATGAGGTTTTGTGGTCGCTTTTGACATTGTTACCAGTAGCATAATATATGGATAGGTTTCCCTAGGGGTGGCAATTTGCCGTTTTCAAAAGTGACAATCCCGATGTCTTGAGTGGGGCAGCTGGGGGGGGGGCGGGGGAAGAGTAGGGACAGTAGATAGGTTTTTTGTCATAAAGTTGTCTTTACATTGCACCGAAAGCAAATCGCTGACTGTCTGACTGGTAACCTAATGCTTTTTAACCCCTCATGAGCCGGGGGTGAAAAATCTGGCCCCCCCTTCAACGTTTTCTTCAAAATCTGCACCTTCAGGCATGTCAGGAGTTACTTTGTTCTGTAGAGTGCCCATTTTTTGTGACGGGTCCGCCAACAACTTTCCTCTCAGACATGCTCAATGCGAAAGGCTGATATGCAGGAGGCCCTGAACGACCGATATCAACGACATTAACCCTCCTTTGGTTTTACAGCACAAATATGCACGAGTGCCCAAGGTCACTCTCTTGCATGTTGGTGCAGTGCACAACACAACACAGCTGTGCTTCTTTGAGGTGTTTACCAAGTGACCCAAAGAGTGACTTCAGCATAGGAGGGTTAACAAACAAAACTCTGTGCGTGACTGAATTGAGCCTTCACAGGAAACTTTACTTGCGATGAATGTCTTTACATGCATGCCAAGTTTGAAAAAGACTGAGCATGGGACAGTCAAAATGGGGGGGGGGAGGGGAGAAAGGGGCAGACCCCACCCTTCCTTCCCCTCTCAATTATGAGGAGGTAAGGGGGAAACCTGCTCTTCAAGAGGTGACCATTGCACCATTCTCTTCAGTTAGTTTGGTATTCTACTATATCTAATGTTTACAAAAAAATTCAAATTCGTTCAAATGTGTTGGGCAGAGTAACTTTTCACTTGCCCAATGCATCGTTTGGAGGCTGTTCTTGAGTTGGTGCTTTCTCTGGTGGTTTGGGCCGACCATAGAAGAAGATGGCCCCGATGACCAAGCCGGCACCAATGCAGAACTGAACGTTGACCTGAAAATGGAACAAATAAACCGCTGCCACCGTGGAGACTATGATACTGACCGAAGTGGCAAAGCCCTTGAGGATGTTATCGGCATACTTGACCACCACTGCCACTGTCAGGCCACCAAAGGCCTGCAGGAAGATGACCGACCACACGTAGTTGGTGTAGCCGAAGAACATGCCCTTCTCCATGATTGCCGCTCCGTCCTTAAGGATCATCCCCACCAGCCCGATAATGGCTCCGAAGAGCCCCAGTTGGATGTTGCGGATCCAGAGGGAGGTCTTGGAACCCTTCAGGATCTTCTCGAAGTAGACGCCGGCGAAACCCGAGAAGCAGCAGGCGACGACGACAGCCAGTAGGCCGTGCAAGGGGTTCTGCTGGGTGTGGGTGACCTCGGCGGCTCTCTTTGAGGGATCTGTTGGCTGAACCTGGACTATGGCTACGCCGGCAAAGAGAAGGACAAGGGCCACCCACTGGATTGCTGACAGGCTTTTACGCAACATGACGACACTAAATAGAGCTGTGGTGAGAATCTTCAGCTGGTAGCTCACCTGTTTAGAGACCAATCAAAGGTACATGTACATCATTTCTGTATTAACTTGAATGATACAGAGCCTGAATACCTGATTTTGATCCAAATAACTTTCACAAGCAATTAAGAACTTGCACAAGTTATGTAGATAAAAAGAACTCCAGACTGACCAACAACGGACTTTACACAGTACAAGTATCGCTACGTGCAAATTCAAAATAATCAACATCGTGATTCTTTGAGAGCACACAAATATCCCTCATACAAATGTACGTGTGTGCATTCCAAGAAAAGTCAGCTGATCCATCACAGCCCATTGTGTTTGTCTGCAATTCAGGCAGACAAAACATTGGTTTACCCTAAATCTGGCTTCATTACATACGCTGTCATGCATGTAATGAACCTGCCTGGTTTGCATGTTTGTAAAAACAGCATTACATGTTTAATACGCTTACGTGTATTTAAGGTTCTGATCACAACAATACGTAGACTACAGAACTCAATCAGTTCAGATACCTGAAAAGTAGCTGCGCTTAGGTTGGAAACTCCTATGAACATCAAGTTGTTCTGCATCGTGTAGATGAAAGCGGGGACGGACACCTTGAGGGTGTCGAGGGGCTGAAGCACAATGGTGCTCCACAAGATCTTGCTCAACTCCACTGCGTTGCCTTTGTGCTGGTAGAGGAGAATGAAGACACAGGTGGTCATCTTGAGGACCTCTGTCACGCAGACAGCTGACGTGGAGAAGTACATGTCGCCAGGCTGGTTGCGCGTGTAGCGCATGGTGAGGATAAGGGCTGCATTCTGTAGGACCAGCAACACCAAGCTGACATACTTGAGGTTCACCTGGGTGGCTGCACCTGTGGAGTAATGCGACCGAAAATGTAAAGCCATATCTGTACTAGACTCCATGGCAATAAACAGTTTTAACCCTAACAGTTCTGCATGAAATTTGGCTTGCAGTAGTCGGCACTACAAAATACTAAGTAGTAGTCTGAGCCTGAAGGACCTAGCACTACAAATTACTACTTCTAGCTAGGTTAGTTCCATTGTTACTCGTACAGAGAACAATAAAGTCATGCATTCATACTGCACCAAAGCACTGAAATGGTACATTGTCTTATCTATTGTATTTTATGGCTTCAGAGAACAATAAGGTCATGTCCTCCGACAAGAGACAGCACTGTATGCCATATTTTACTAGTACTATGTAGTGTTTAGGGCTGTTAGGGTTAATGGAAAGACTAAAATTAGCAGAAAAGATACATGTACATGTACACTATAACTTTTGCCAGAGTTCAAAGTGGCTGTGTGCACCTTTTCAACACACTGCAGGTACATGTAATTTTGGACCCCTAAATGCAAATGCAAAAAATCTGAAAAACTTGCTTTTCAAATCAAGACAAAGATGTAAATACACGGCCAAATTTTAAATGCATGCTTGATTTACTGTACCCAAGGGCAACTTTAGTGCTAAATATGTAGGGGCGGCCAGTGAATAGATGAAATATATTGACAGGACTGAGTAAACTTTGCCTCGGCTAAATTCTCTCGGTTTGATTGAACAATTCTGCAAATTTAGCATACAAGTTCATATACATAGTAACGGTTACAGATACAGTCCTGGATAATGGTTGAGGCTCACAAAACTGACTACATGTAACTCATGACAGTGGTACAACAGACGGCCCTCACCCCAAAATACATCTCTAAATTTTTATATCAGAGAAGGGGAAAGGTCCCAGGGATATGGGTAAGTCCATAGCACATCTTCCCTTCCTGCATTGTGTGGACATCTTTTGTTCACAAGTCCACACTAGGTATCTAAAGTTAGTGCAGAACAAAGAAACATGTATACTGCGGTGAACAGAGAAAAACAAACAAAACACAAAAAAAACCCACAAACTGCAGATGTTTCATGCACTTTCAAGTTAAATATAGCACTATGGTGTACTCTGAGGCATGGTACATGTACATGTATGTGTGCTCTGTACTCTCTGACATTGGAAAAAACCACGGCAGCCAGACTGGATCCATGAGTCAAAACTGTCATGGGAAAGCTTCCTGTCCATACCTGCAGGCAGTGATCTTTCCTCTCAAAACAAGTTCACCCATGTGCTCCATGTGCTTAACATTTAAACATGTACAATTGCACATGCACTTCTGTGTGAAGTAACCTGATGCAAAAGGGAGGTTTTTCAGCTTTTACATAGATCAGCACCGTTTTCCCCATTTTTTGGCTCCCCCCCCATCAATTACTACACACAGTACAGCATTCAGCTCAAACGCTGGTTGTGCATCTAATGCTGTACATAGTTTTTACAGCCTGGGTACATGTACCCCAGGAGGAGGACAGACCTCCAAATATGCAAAGCAACTTGCATGCATGCATCAACAAGCAGGACCAACAGAGGGAGGGCGCTGTGGGCTCAGCATTTGCCCAATACATGATACATGTACATACATGTACTAGCACGGCATGATCTCATCGTGAGAACAAGATGGTAAGTGGCAAATAGGTATCGCCTTGTGGAGGTAAGGGTACTGCACAGCACACAGTGCACAGAACCAGTTTTCATCTGAATGTGCACAAACATGGAACATCTTTTCAGGGGAGCGCATCTGAGGGCCAGTGTTGTAGCTGGGGCATCACAAGTCCCTTCACAAATCCATTCACAAGACCAATCATAAGTAACAAGGTGAAATATTCTACGGGAATGCTCTTTTCACAGTCCATTTGAAAAGCTTGTGACTTTGGCTGAAGACCGAATGAGTTATTAGCAACATACATGTACATACATGCACAGGGACTTGTGATGGACCCAACTGCAGCAGTCAGGCAGTTTAACTCATGCGTCCTCAATCTCTCTCCTGCTTTCACAGCTGCAGAGGTCCAGCAGTGGCCCTTGCAATAATGAGTAGAACACAATATGTGGCACTGCAGAATAGATTCCACAAATCAACAGGCAGCACTACCCAAGCAATGCAACATGCACTACCATACCGTTGACACTGAAAAGCTGAGAGGCATGCGGCATTACAGACGGAATCTGACGCTGCTTGACATGAAACCAAGCTCTTGCTCACTGGAAACCCACTTCTTCAGTCTTCGCCAATGACAAGAACCATTGTAAGAGTCAAAGGCCTACATGTACATGAGCATTTGAAATGATTCCAACAGACTACACAGATGGTGTTTAATTAGTCATCGCTAAATATTGTCAGCATTCATTCATTGCTGGGTGCAGAATACACACCATGAATACATGTCTGTATACCAAAAACATCTGGGAGATTTGTGTCAGCTGAAACAATAGTGCACTTTACTGAAGTCCTATCAAAGCTGTGGCTACAGTATCAGCCTATGAAAAGTGTCTTTCATGAATGTTTACACTTATTTTAGAAATGTTTAATTTAAAAGGATGACATCGATATTCAGCAATTAAATATCATGCACATATGCACATTTTCACAACATTGTTTTCAAACAGGGTTTGTTGCAACAAAAAATGGTTAAATAAGTTTTGATTACTTGTAAGGGTGGAAGTCAAGTAATGTGTTTGGATATAGAATAATTTGTAGAGGAAAAACGGAAAGGATGAAGAAAAATGTACACAATTGCTACATGGCACACGAGGTGACTGTCTAATCCTGTTCCTTCCAACTTCAATGCAGGAAGCCAACTTGATGATACTATGGTCACAGCATGAAAATGAACATTTAAAAGGTTTTCATTGAGAACGATTTCCTGGTGAAGAAAGTGAAGATTCTAAAATGATAAAAGACGCACTCTCACCACTTTCAAAAGTTCAAGTGAACTCAGCAAAAGCTTTCTAGCTTTCTACATGTAATTTAGGGTTTTTGATATGAAACATGGCTTGACAATGGTGCAAACATTGTACAATAATTCACCTGGTTTGGCTGTTTTATCTTGAACCTGTTCATGAGTGTGATGGACTGGCAGTTCTCCTGCTAAGTCTCCAAAAGTCATTGAAAAAAAAAAACCACAAAAACCACTAAAATACAATCAACTGTATCAGAGTGAAGATTAGTGATGTTATAATATACTAAGCAATTCAGCTACAAGCTCCAAGCCATGTCAAATGAATGGTAATAAAGGAACATTCGCATATGAGGAAAGGGTGTAACGATACATGTACAAGTGTGCAGATCGGGTTCAATGTACGGGATATTAGCCATAATGTACTTGTACATGTAGTACTAAGTACATGTACATGTATGTTACAGTTCTACGCTGTAACTTTAAGTACAACAGTAAATGTACACATGTACACATGTGCACACCAAAGTTGTAATTTACATGTAAGAGGCTTACTTTTTTTACTTTGTTTTACAGGGGTAAGATTGACCAATGATAAAAATAGCTGAAAACAGCTGAAAAAAAGGCATGAAGTAGCTAAACTGTGAAAATCTCTTATACATGTGTACTTTTGTACACAGCCAGTGAGGAAAAGCTGAAATCCAAAACCAAAAAAGCTGAAATCAGCTAAAAAGCTGAGAAATCTCACCCCTGAATTTAAGAGAAGACAGGTTAATAGATGCATACAAAATGGAAACAACTCTAAAACACAGCCCTTTTTTCTGAACAACTGAGTATCAACTTGACATTTGGTTAATGTCTTCTCACCACTGTACTACATGTACATGTAAGAATCAGTGCTCAACCACTGTCTCTGATTTCACAAAGCTTAACAGTACCAAATTAGCAAATGTACTTTCTAAGGAAAAACTGGACACCAGGCAAACTGTTATGCAATCTGTAGTTTTTGAGACTGGTTTCCAGCCATTTTAACACTCGTAGTGTGTAACAGGTGTACCAGATTCTGCCACTTTGAGAATACTCGTAGGAAATGAAAGGCTTCTGTAATGTAAATTGAATACACTGGCACCATCGAAGAACACAACGTACAGTATCTGCAGAATTCTCTTGTTCAAACAGATACCTGAATAGGTATGCACGTAAGCATGTACAATGCTTGGCAAATGGGAACTCCCTATAAACTTATGCACAGCAGTCAACGTGTGAAGCAGTATTCCCTGCTCAATAACAGCTTAGTGAAATTGGGCTCTGAAGGGAAACCGTATTTGGATGATGCCTTTATAGGGCTTCCTTACTCCTTGCTTAGGAAATCTCTTGGTGACCCACAAAAAACAGGGAGAACAAAGGAATACTTTTGTCACAGTTCAATTGAACAGCTCTAGTCTGGTTACTTGCGATGGACTGGACAACATTTCTGAGCCAATTCCACACATAAGTGACCACTGGTCACTCTATTACAGACTTCAGTATTATCCGTAATTCTCAAAAAATATTTCAGAAATGAAAGAGCAAATAAAAGGTAAAAGTATCACATATTACTTTCTCTTTCATTTTTTGTTGATAACTTTTTGATTATATGCAAGAATTTTGAGAAAATAGAGTAAGTAAATTTTGGGGTTGAATTGCTTGTCAGACAATGTGCACTACATTGTACTTTGGTGCATATACTGTGGTTTGAGTGTTATGGAGAAGTGGTATCGTTACACCTGAAGTTTGGCAATACATTCACACAGCACATGGTCAGTTTGCAGCACAAAATGATGAAAGCATGCACTAGGGAAGCATGTAGTTTGTACATGATGAGCAACACTGAAATGACGGAAGGAGCACTGTGTACCAAAAGCAGGCCTCGTTCTGCGCCAGTCCCAAGGATTCATGTTCTTCAACATGACATCATACAATTTAAGAGCACTGTAAGGAACGAATGAAGATGGACAAAGGAAACTTTTAAAGCATTCAAGGTTGCACATGTCCCTCAGTCTGACAATAAAAGACATTCAACATGTTCCGACTACACATACTAACAGTAAAGCTGATTGGCGAAGCAGAATTTGCAGAAGGATGGATGGAGCGTTTGATGACCGATAGCAGCAATATGTTTGTACGAGCCTTGAATGCAAGCTTTGTGAGAGCTGGATATTAATTGAATATCCTGGCACAGAATTCTACTACGGTAGGAAAACCCTTTCTTGACAAAAGAGGGCCATTATGCAATGCTTCAAATTTTCTAGTGGGTCTTCGATCAATTATTATTGAATTACTGTGTCAACACACAGCTCACCCTGACCAGCAATGCAACAAATTTTCTAATTCATACAGAGCAGAAGTCCCAATAAGGCTGGGTCAGATGGAATTTAATTTAAATATTCAACTTGCCATTTGATCACTTACTTGTACCGAATTCCCACATACACAGAAACTAAAATATTTAGAAAAAGTAAAAGACAGAAAAACTCAGAGAAAAATAATTTCAGGCCTTTTTGTTTGGCTTGCGCATTCAGCTGCCTTTCAGTTTATTTGTAACACCTTAGAATATCCCCTTAGAATGCCAAGGTGTAACAAAATAATTCAAGCTTTCCCTTTATTTCTTTGATTTTCACATCCCAAATTCTGAACACAAATATTCAAGTTTTGATAATTGATTGAATGTCGATTATTCAAATAATTGCATTAATCGGCACAATCATTATGGTAAACAGAATTCACATGTAACATCACACACAAATTCTGGACTTGCCAACCACATAGGTTATATTCAGGCTTTGTGTGCATGTACATAAATAAATTCATGCAATGGAAACAAAATCAATTAAACAACAGATAAAAACATCCATTCCATTGTCATCTTATGAAATTATTCTAACTACTGTAATGTACTCCACTCATGAATATTCAATGTGTGATAGCTAATGATGATGGTAATGATGATAACATGCCTGGTGATGAGCTATTTAAACTGGGCACAGAGCGCAAGCCATCACTGTACAAATGAAAAAAACCTGAATTCACACAAGGAAAATAAAACATTTAGTATTGCAATTAACACAATGTAAAACACAAAATTCAACCATTTCTTGCCACAATTTTCCACAACTGTGACCAATGTATTTTTTGTCCTGCCTGTTTTCTGTATGGTAATGCGCACTTTCAGTTTCAGTGCAAGGGAAAACACCATGTGCAGTTTATGCAAATTGACCATTTTATTATGTACAAACCCACTACACCTGTGGTCCTTTTGTAAGCATTAAACGCTCACAGGTAACAGCAGTGCCTATGTTCTCCACAAACATCTACCCGGTACAGTGTGTGTGTACCCCCAGAATTGTGGGGTCCGACGTCCGCCCTGCCACGTTGGACCCCACAGTTCTGGGGGTAGTGCGTGTGCACACATATAAGCGTACATGTACATGTACGTGCAGGGTACTCCTGGAACTATGGGGTTGGTTGCACACTCCTTGGTCCTAGTAATACGTGTAGGATACAGAGATTCATTTTATACAAGCTGGCAATTTTTGCTTTGCAAAGGTGTTTCCTTAATAGCTTATTATGCCTCTGTATGATAAGATTGGCATATCCTGCGTTGCCCAGAAAATGCCCCTTTTGTCTGGTTCAGCTGAATTATTTGCTTCATGAATGTTTGCTCCATTGAACTCATGTTAATTTAGCACATATTTTGTAATATTGGCCTTGCTGACGTGACAAAATGTCCAATATGGGCAAACCATAATTTTCCTAGGGGAAAAAATTCCATACATGTATATATACGGATGCCGCTTGACACCCTGTGCACAAACCCTATGAGATTGGCCTGAAAAAAGTGTTTTCTAAGTAAATAACTTAGTATTTTCCCTCCTAAATTGAACTTTTCTGGACATATTTTTGCTTTCTGGCGACTAATGGGTCACTGTAGGCAAAAAATATTGGCGTCCGTACATGGAACTCTTTCCTTCGTTGGAGTATGCTCTTCAGCTCTATAGTCTGGGGCGGGCATCCAGGTCTTTTACAAAATGGTGGGTAGCAACCACACCGCGCCAGTGAAAACAACTGCGACCACGGCAACGTGCGCGAACCAGCCAGTCAGAGGATCAGGCTACCATTGCTACTCAAAGTTTTCTTTGATCAGTATGTATGCGCGCGTACGTCACAGTTGTTTTCATTGGCGCGGTGTGGTTGCTACCCGCAATTTTGCAAATGCCTTGGACATTGTTGAATGTCCGCCCCGGCCTATATTGCAAACTTAAACATGTTAACAGGTTAAAACTAAAATTATAACAAAACACTTCCACGATTATGATCATCACTGAAGATTGTGTATCTTCCTCCTACTTCCTGAATAGTAAGGTACTACTCCATAGACCTTACTGCACTCCACCTTTTGGATGATTCCCATGCTATATGGCATTTTTGAAAGCTGCCCAGTTGGAGAACCAGATGAAACTGTGGTCAGGGAACCACACTAATCACTTATCGGCTCGACCATTTTGCAATAAATAAACTTTGTCTCACAACTTCACAACCATATCTGTACAAAATATTTTCACTCCCTGAAATACATACTTCTCAAACATTTTAAATGTGTAACCAGCTAGCTTGACAACACAGCATGTATCACACGTCCTGACATCGTCGACCCCTCCTCCCACTTGTAAAATGGTTGAGCCGACATGTGATTAGTGTTGTTCCCTGACCACAGATTTCCCAGACGTCTCTATGCATAATCGTAGTGGGAGGAGTCGGAATTATGGGACTGGTATCTATTATCCAATGCAACATGTATGTTCATTACGCAAATACGTTGCGCCTGTTTTTGTCATGTGACGTACGGCGACAGAGAACGCAGATGTGTGCAGATCGTGGGAGAATGAGAGGTAAGGATTGTAGAAAAAAACCTCATTTTTTGCCGAGAATATAGGTTAAATGCTACAAAATACAATCATGCCGGGTAGTTCCATATAGGTTAGCTATTATCATAGGGTATTTAGGGGTAAGTTCGCTTCAGAAAGCGCAAATGGAGGTTTCATCTGGTACTCCAACTGGGCAGCTTTCAAATTCCATAGCATGCGGAACCATCAAGAAGGAGGAGTGCAGTAAAGTCTACGGAGTACATTTAGCACCTTACTGTTAAGGAAGCAACTTCCTCAATGATCATACCCATTGATATCCTCGAAGAAGTGGTTTTCATTACCATTAGCACCCTGTTCGTATAAGGAAACGAAGTCCACTTTGTCAAACAAACATTTTGACCTTAATTAAGGAATCATTAGTCAATTCCGATAGTCCTAGTTGAGGTAAATTTTGATATTTAAGTGACAAAACGTCAAATTTTTAACCCAAGTTTGGCAAAAGACAACCACTGAGTTGAATCACGCCATTTTGTTTTTCATCTGGTTACCCGACTCAGGCATTTTGGATTCATCAAAACAAATCTCCATACAAGTCAAGGAACCAGATTACATTCACTTATTTATTGTTGTCAGCGGTCATGTACATGTATGCTGCAGTTTTACCCAAAATCTTCCTTCAAAAAAACCACAAGCCCTGTTCTCTTTTATTAGTAATATGAAAGAGGACATCACCAACAACTTGTCATGCTTGTTTAGATAAGTTCATGAAGTTGTTTCAAAAAGTAGAATTTGTTCCCTTCCTTATATTTAAAGTTAGGCCTCGGCCTATTTTATAATAGGAACAGGGTGTTAAAGGTAATGAACCCCGAAGAAGCTACCCCTCCCCCAAAAAACTGTCCCGCTCGGTCTGGTGCAACAACGCACGCAAGCCTACTCCAGTCTTTTTATAATTTTAATACAGACGCCCATGAGAGTGAACCAGTGAAAGTGGAGGTACGTGCATGTACGTACACGGGCGAGGCACATTAAATAAATCACACATCATTCAATATGAAACCTCGAGTGTCCACGACACTGCCAACTCTCACACTTAGTAAGAATTAGATAAGTTATTTCCGCCCTTAGTTAAAAAAAATCGCACCTGTTTTGGACGGGACTGTAGGAGATACGTTTCCATTTCCAATGTTTACTACGGTTTCACGACCGCTTGAAGTTGAACTTTCCCTTGAAGCTGCCATGTTCATGATGTTGGAATTGATTGGCTCTCGTCCTCGTGCATTATCTCTTTTATTTTAGCTCTAATTTCTGGTAAAAATAAATCTATTAAAAGACCATCGGCTACAGATAAAATTGAAAATGATATAAAAATTAAACAATTGGACATTAAAAGTGCAAATGTTTTAGAATTTTATGAATGTTGTACATAGTTTTTTAAAATAAAGTTTAACCTTAAACTTTACGAGTCTCTTTTGCAGTACAGTGCTGCGCTTGTGCATGCAGTGACGTGACGGTGACAGTGTCGAACGATTGTCGGAGAAGTTGGCCCAGTAATGCTTCTATTGGTATCATAAAAAGTCGGTTTATAATAAGTCTCATTATTTTGTTTCATTGTGCCAGAAGACAAAGTTGTTTATATGTATCCGTACCATAATGACAAGCTGATTTGATTAATTCTGTGTTTTGTGTGTATAAATCTCTGTATGTGATTTCAGTGTGTTTTTGTATTATTTTGTTGACATTTTANGTTGTTTCAAAAAAGTAGAATTTGTTCCCTTCCTTATATTTAAGTTAGGCCTAGGCCTATTTTATAATAGGAACAGGGTGTTAAAGGTAATGAACCCCGAAGAAGCTACCCCTCCCCCAAAAAACTGTCCCGCTCGGTCTGGTGCAACGACGCACGCAAGCCTACTCCAGTCTTTTAATAACTTTAATACAGACGCCCATGAGTGTGAATCAGTGAAAGTGGAGGTACATGTACGTACACGGGCGAGGCACATTAAATAAATCACACATCATTCAATATGAAACCTCGAGTGTCCACGACACTGCCAACTCTCGCACTTAGTAAGAATTAGCTAAGTTATTTCCGCCCTTAGTTAAAAAATCGCACCTGTTTTGGACGGGACTGTAGGAGATACGTTTCCATTTCCAATGTTTACTACGGTTTCACGACCGCTTGAAGTTGAACTTTCCCTTGAAGCTGCCATGTTCATGATGTTGGAATTGATTGGCTCTCGTCCTCGTGCATTATCTCTTTTATTTTAGCTCTAATTTCTGGTAAAAATAAATCTATTAAAAGACCATCGGCTACAAATAAAATTAGAAATGGTATAAAAATTAAACAATTGGACATTAATAGTGCAAATGTTTTAGAATTTTATGAATGTTGTGCATAGTTTTTTAAAATAAAGTTTAACCTTAAACTTTACGAGTCTCTTTTGCAGTACAGTGCTGCGCTTGTGCATGCAGTGACGGTGACGGTGACTAGTGTCGAATGATTGTCGGAGAAGTTGGCGGCTTTAGTCCCAGTAATGCTCCTATTGGTATTATAAAAAGTCGGTTTATAATAAGTCTCATTATTTTGTTTCATTGTGCCAGAAGACAAAGTTGTTTATATGTATCCGTACCATAATGACAAACTGATTTGATTAATTCTGTGTTTTGTGTGTATAAATCTCTGTATGTGATTTCAGTGTGTTTTTGTATTATTTTGTTGACATTTTACTGAGGAGACCCTCTCGACAGTGATTGAATTCGCTTTAAGAGCCTCCTTTAGAGTTGTTAACAAATGTTGTTTAAGTCTGTTGCTTCACTTGGCTTTGTACCATATGTCTGTATTCTCTGAGAAATGAATTCAAATGAAGGACATTATCAAACTGAAAACAGTCGATGTGTTTGGTTCAGGTCACAGTGACAAAATAATTTTACACCACTGCATGTCGTTTGTCGATCGGAACCACCGACCTCGAGCTCCGAGTGGTCTAATAGTACCACCGAGCTAGTCGAGGGCGGTAGTAAGAAGTTTGCATTAGTAAGCAGGATAGGAGGTCATCGGACTCCCGTCATCGGATGCAAACAGCGGGCCCGTCGCGTGTTCTTTACAACTTAATACTCACGGTATCGGGGGTAACCTTTGAGGACCTGAGTTTACTTGAGGTCCTCAGTCTGTGGCATTTTGAAAGTGGGTGGGGGGATATCATGAAACAGGGACCGATCCAAGAATTTCTGCGGGTACGGGGATCAGTTTTGTCCACCGTATCCAGCTTTGGTGTCGGGGGGGAGGGCAAATTCAAGAGCAAATGCTCGTTCGGGCTCATCAAACACTATTATGGGGGAGAAAAATATAGCCTGTTTATTTGATAATAAAGATACCGATTACTTTCTTTCCAACTCACCTAAGAAGTATTCTCAGTTGAAAAATTATTTTTCAAAATGTTGTAAGTAAACTTGGCAGTATGCCAAAGGCACTGATCAATTGTAATTCACAGTGACACAAACTGGGTAGTTGATTTTTATAGTAATGAACAAGAAATCTGCAGAAATTACGGCTTATTAAGTTCTAATTGCCACTAGAAAAATTATCTCCTAAAATACTGTGAAACAACCGTTCCTGAGTGCGTACCAGTCCTAGTCCATTGGCGATTCAGGGGAGATGCGATTAGGTGCCATCTCTATAAACCCAACAAAGTAAGTTAATTTTATACAAAAAAAAAATAAGAAAAGAGCAATTTTGAAGACTAAATGTGAACTAATTTACTTCTTTTCCACGTGTAATTTAGTCTCACCCCTCAGAAAAGCCATAACTGAGTGCATAAAGTTATTTCCAAATTCCACCCCAGGCTAAAAATGCCGCCACCAGGAAAACGAAATAAACAGTACGTCTTTAGGGGCTAGGTGGTACGCCGGTGATTTTTTCCTTTATATGACTCAAAAACAAAAACCAGAACTGGCACTTTGCTTTCTTTCAAAGGCCCATGAAAAGGAATGGAAAACAAGAAACAACTTTTCAACAACGTTAATGTAGCACCTGGCAGTGCTGAGTATGACTGGCGTCCGGGCGGGGTGGAAGCTTGTACTTTCAAATGTTCCAAAAGGGTGGGGACTTGTGAACTTACGTTTGGAGGTACATGAACATGTACGTGCCAACGCCATTGAGAATGTTTTGACCACTACATACAACAGCAGCCGGGCTTGATTGGAAGCAGTGGTATGTACGCAATGTTTTCCTTAAATGGTTTCAAGTGACCCCTCCCTGATTGATGTTACTTTTTAAAATCCCTTCTGACAGCATTTGCACGCGCGGCACGGATACCGTACACGAGGAGACTGAGGGAAGTTCATTTTGACCTCGCACGTGGATTACATCACGCGTGGTTTTTGCGCCGCTAACGATCGCGGCGCTATTCGACCGACCGCCTAGGCCTACCGTACCGGCGCGGTACGTCGTAACGCGTGGTGTGTGATCGCCTGTCAGCGCAATGCAGAAATTAACCGAATGACAAGAACATACTCTTCTTTATTAATATTCAAAAATAGGGGCAAGCAGCGTGGTTGAAAATGTCTTACTGTAGACAGGAAGGTAAGTTCTGTCGTGTCTGTAAATGTAGGGCCCCTAGGGACCTAAGTTGTAACTTAGCCGGAGTGTTACGCCCCAACTATAGCATCAGTCCCCACTATAGTTGGGCCCGTCCAAACTAGAGTGCTACGTTGGGCCGGCCCAACTATAGCAGAGAGGTCCTGCGTGCATGATGTGCCCAGTATTTGCCAAAGCCATATTGTTCACAAATGTCATTTCATTATTCATTAGGGCTAGATGAACAGATGAAGTGCCACATTAGATGAATTGTGTCAAGTGTGCATGTGAGACACATTGGCTTGGATAATGTTGAGACATTTTCCACAGACATTGGTCAACAATAGTTGGGCCAGCCCAACTGCAGCACTACAGTTGGGACTGTCCCATAGTTGGGACTTATGCTATAGTTGGGGCGTAACAGGAGCAAGGACTCATTTGCCATGTTTGCTGAGAGAGGCGATATCTACAGTAGGTACCCGACTACCGCCATGCCCTGACATGCCTGATGCTACCGTTACCCCCAGAACTGTGGGGTCCGTCCGACGTCCGCCCCGCTCCCACATGACAGATTCCGGGCGGACCCCACAGTTCTGGGGTAGCCCTGATGCCTGACTTCTTCCATCATGTCCATACATCATACACGTAATTTCCGCTGGGGACAATTTTTTATTGATAGGGGTGGGCCCCCAGCCCCCAGGCCCTCCCAGCTATGTTACTGCTTGCAAAGAAATCCACAAAAACCACACCAATCATATTTAATTGATAAACCCACTTTGTTTCTTCTGGCTTAAGCTTGTGTTAACTTTTCATTAAAAAATGGCCGGAAAAAAAATTGCGAAAGTTAACAGGTAAAGAAAAAAGAACAGCATCTTCCCCAGTAGCTATTTCTACCAACTAGGGATTAAATACAACACTGGCTTTTTTTCAAAGTTTGTTACCTCTCATTCTAGCTGTTCTGCATTTGTTGTGACAATCTGTGGTTTTTCTTTATCAGGAAAAGACAGGGTCATATTTTTGACCAAAGAGGATCAAGATGAGCCAATTCAAACGAAGAGTGTGAAAGATCTGGTCAATGAGGAAGATGACGAAGAAGGAGAAGGTAAGACATCAGACAAACCCGGTACAGTGCAGTCCCTGTGCCCCCTTGGGTCAGTCGAGATTCACAAGAATAATTCATTGAGTTTAAAACATCCTAGATATCAAAATGCCCAAGTTTTAAAACACTACTACTTAATACTGAATAAAAACACCACCCTGTTCAAAAGTAATGCACATATAAAATTTGAGGTGAAATCTTACATCAACCAAGGATGATATTTCTGCAAACTTTGGCCAGCCATACTGTAAGGACAGTAGACAATGTGAGAGTGGTTTGTACAAGCAATTCACAGGATAGTGCACAACATGCAGCCTGCCATAGAAAGGCCATTTTTTAGCAGTTCATGTACGTGTACAGTACATTCTGAGAAGTTGACAAGTCTGTGAACCAGCACTCCAACCTTTTGTGTTGTAACAGTTTTAGTGTGTTTTGATCTTGTGGACATGCACAATTTAAATGTGAATTAATTGCAGGTTTGCAGGACAATACATGCAAGATGCCAACTTTGAAGTTGGAAAATTGCCACATTGTACTAAATCTCAGGATCGGATTGAATCACTTGCTTTTTTTTAGACAAATTGCCAATCTGTGGATTAGACAGGGCCGATGTAAATCAAAGTGTCGGGCAACATGATCATATACATGTAACTTGACATGGTCTCCCACTGAAGAGGAGCTGCATCATAAGTATGGTGGTTGTACCTTTGACACAACGACTGACTCCAACTCCAATCGTTAAAAATCATCTTTCAAATAACAAAAGTTACATCCAAGGATTGGAAGCTCATCTCATACAAGTTGGAATTGCAAATTCCCACATGCATGACATGAAGATTCATAAAATTATAAACAGGTTGTTTGATGGAAAGACCTTACATCCTAAGAGATTAATGCAGCCGCATGATATCAAGAAAAACCTCGAAGTTGTAAGTCAAATGCATTTGATTCCTAATGATCTATCAACTAAGGGAATGGTGGCAACTGTTTTGAGACAGGTACAAAACTTGAGGAATTATGCCCCCAACTCAACCAACAACAAAATAGATACTTCATAAATCAAAGTAAGTTGCAGTGAGTTGTTTTTATTCTTGAAAGTATGATGATTCCAAATGTCACACATTTTTCCCCCTTTTGCCGTCTAGACCGAAATTGAAGTGCCCTTTTGTAAACTTGTTTCCTGACACATCATACTGTAAAAGAGACCCTCCAAAGAAGATCACATACATGACTTAGGTGGTCATCAATTTTACTGGTATACATCTGATCGCATACCGTAACTTGTTAGAATTGTTGGTAAAATCCACCACGAGGGCCTTGTTTTAATTGTATTTGGCTAACTGTGTTTGTGTCAGACATACACGTATCTCCTTGAGAAGACCAGTCCATGTGACTATTAAAAGCAGCAAAGTAGCTGACGTATTCAGTCTTCAGTGTTATCTGTGAGCGGTCTGCAGTCCCAAGTTAGCCTCAAGCTGGACTTGAGCTAAATTGTGAAGACATCACTGCAGTTAATTCATTGTTTGGTTGGATAAAGAATACCAAACTACCGGTACATGTACATGTATATTCCTTGTAGTTGTTCATTTTGAGGAGTTTAATTATATTGGCGCTCACAGAAACTACCTCAGTAGCAACAAGCACCTGTAATCTGCAATTAAAATGCTATTTTGGGATGTTTTTATGTTGTTTAGGTCTTATCCTTCCAAACGGTGACATCAATTGGAACTGCCCATGCTTAGGGGGCATGGCCAGCGGGCCCTGTGGGGTGGAATTCCGCGAGGCATTCTCCTGTTTCCATTACAGCGAGGCCGACCCTAAAGGATCAGACTGCATTGACAGCTTCCGCACCATGCAGGAGTGCATGGTGCAGTACCCAGAGCTGTACCCTGTCGGTGAGGACAAGGAGAGGGAGATGGTGAAAGAGGCAGAGGAGGCGGGCCAAGATACGGCCGAAGATGGAGTCCACCACATCAGTGAAAGTAAAGAAGTAGCGGCTCCATCGGATTTGGACAGAGATTCTAATGCCAATGTAACAAGTGCTGTCCTGAACAATGAAGATGTGGTTGTCCAGGCAACCACGGGAGCATCCTCAGAAGGTAGTCAAGATGCAGTCTATGTGAAGGGAGAAAGCAAATCTTGATGTTTGTTTATCTTCCTAGAAAGACACTGTGATAATGTTGGATTTAAAAAAGTGTTTTATAATCGTTGAAACATTGGGAACAAGACTAATCATTTTTAGTGATTTTTTTTAACACACGTACTGACCTTTTCCCTGTTCTTTTTCACAAATGCTTTAAATGTTGTATAACTGTAATGCATTTCTGCATTTGAATATGAGATTTTTGTGATGACCCTACGACTTGACAATGATCAACTTGTGTGTATTCAAGATTGCTTCAGATAAGGTGACTTTGTACCTTATCACTTAAGACAAATTGTGAATGTATTTATGAGGTTGGCATTATATCCACATTTTAGAGTCACTAGTGAGACTCTCTTATTGCCTGGTTCAGGACAGATTTCCCTACTGCATTGTATTTCTGTTCTTTAGGCTTTTTTACATAGCTCAGTGAGAAAAGTGTGTTTTTGTTCAAATAATTATAACTTTCTGTCTTGATTATTTTACAGTTGTTAATTGTGAATGTGCTTCGATCAAATACATCTTTCCCCAGATAACTCAAATCTTATTGTGTGGCTCGCTGTACTCAGTTATATCCGGCGTCCATTTCTTGATAAACTGCACAAATTCACCGGCACACTAGAGCATAAAGTGCGCCAATCATCCCTGCAGGCCGTCTCACCTAGCCCATAAACATTCCTTGTAAGACATGTCAGCTCTCTGAGCAGTATGGAGCTGAGTGCTGCCATCTCTGCTGAAAGTCTAGTTTCAATTCATCCACATGTTCATGACAGTCACGTCAATTTTGATTTTATACAAAGGAGACCAATGAATATTTCAAGTGAATATAAGTTCTTGAATAGGGATTTTAAGCATTGTGATAATCGCGAGGATAAACAAATCCGCTGTCTCACTTTGAGGTACCACAGACTATTTCACACGCAGAGTTTGTGAAAACCTTTCGATCTGGACGTCACAAGCTAGATTTGTGAATTTTGACAACGCGAGAGGAAACTTCCGAAAGGCTTTTTTTTTAGTTACTGCCAGCAATTTTCTTAATATTTCCCATGCCTGGAACTGTCCATTTGTTTAGTGTACAGTTTTTGTCATTCAAGGAAATGCCTTACTATACTCTAAACAAAAGCAATTTTATGTTTTTCTTAATTGCCAGTTTCGTTAGTATCAGAAATACTTTTCAAGATAAAAGCGCTAGATAGCTTGTTACTGTCTAGATTTTGCAGTGTGCATCTGTTTTAAACATTTCCAGTGTTTGGTTGAGTTGACAGATGTGCGTTTGACTAAAGTATTTATGTAGAACTATACACAAACTTTTAACGTTTCCAAGATCGGTTGCTAACGTGTGCATTTTGTTTCATCGGCGCGTTTGTTGTCGAGAGGCTTTGTGTTTGTCGTAAACCTTAATGCTGTTCCCAAAATATTTCAATATTTCAAATATATATATATATATTGTGCACATCAATGGTTCTAGTTTCGTCAAACTAGTAATAATAATAATGAGGAATCGGGCATTTATAGAGCGTTCTTACACAAGTTCAAATAAAGTAATACAGACCGGGAAATTGAAAAAAAATGGGCTATAAGGCTAAAGAATCGTGGAAAAGGGTGAGATTTCATTTAAGCCAGCGAGGGAAGTTGCGTGCATGTTACGGACAACATGCATGTCCTCTACATGTAATGCATTGATCCATTGACGACGATTAAAGGTTATACGTCTAGGTAGCACTTAAAGCATTTGCTTTAAACTTTATGAAAGTCGAACAATTATTTGAGAAAAAAACGAGGAGTAGGGCCTAGCGTCTGCTGTGAAAGGTAATTTACATTTATGACATCGGAAGCGTGGAGCAAGGAAAGTTTGTTTTAAACGGGGCAGAGGACGGTTTTGTGCGATTTGTTTTCAGGGAAAATTAGTTCACCAGGTGGTGTTTGCTCAGAATTATGTACCTGTACATGCACAAGACGGAAAGAAAAATGTATGGTAGCTCGCTGGTTGACCATTGGAAACACAACTCGGCTGTGGTGACCCGTAATTGTATGAGAGGTGAGAGCGTCGCCTGGCTGAGGTCAAACGTCGGGAGTGTGTGTAATAGGACACGTGTACAGAAAACATCGAGCCATATAATTTATAATTTCACAGTATATGTAATGGTACACACTCATGACTCGGCAACGTGAAAACGAGGCTTGTGTCGTATAACAAAGCTGTGGTTACTAAACCGTTTTCTTGTTCTTTGATGATGAAACTACTGTAAGACGTCCCATACCTTCATTCAAATCCTGATGAAGTTTGGGTTGAGAGTGTTCGATTTCAGGTAAGACTGCGATCCCAGGCGTACGTCTCCGTGCCATGTTGGCGATAGTCTTGAAGCTCCAGTCCTCCAAATGTCTCAAACTCTGAAGCCACTAGGCAGCCCCAAGTTTCTCCGCCTTATCATCCAGCGAGATTGTGAAGACTGACCCTGAAACCATCCAAGTACATGTACATTTTATCTGCTAACATCAGCAATAATCCTTGAAGCTTTCTGTTTATGAATACCAGCAGCAGTTCATAGATGCACATGTGCCACGTTTTTATAGCTCCAGCTCCATGGTACCACCAACAGTTGCCGTGAGCCCGTAGCAGGCGTGGAGTCGTTGTATTTTTTGTTTTTGTGTCAAGAAGTTGCGTCACGGTATGAATTTAATATGGCTATGAAAATCTTACGACAGTGTTTCAGAAGTGAAGGTATGTACTAATGTATATACTGGCATCGCCGTACGGTAAAAAGATCTAAACAGAGACAAGGTATTTTGCAAATATCGCTTCCACCGCTGAGGAAGGAAAAGACCTGTACTTTCACGAAGCGTTGCAAACAATGCACCGATCTACACGTACGATATTATAAACTATGTAGCAACATTAATCTTTCTTAGTATTCAGCTACGAAAATCCTCATCGGGTTTCTTCCTCCATAAAGCTGCTGGGTGCGTTTTTTTCCTTCAAAATCTCCAACCTTGCAATTTATATCTGGCACCCATAAGTATGCAGGGAGGCACAACTCTTTGAGTTTAGGCATCAGTATTTTTATTCATCTCCCCGAGTTCTTCTGTCAAGCCATTTTTCAGCTGCCCTGGTAATGTGGCGCGTGTCCACACGTCCACCGGTTCAATATACGAAAGGTTCATAGCGTATATACGCGTCACCTGTCGCCATGTGTGCTTTTCACCAATTGTTTACATACAAAGGAGTTGCTGGTTGAGATTTTGTAACATTATCTCTTTTGTAAGTATGGTTTTGCCCCCTGGCAAATCGGTTTACCCAAGCAAAGGAGGTCTTTAAATCTCCTTGGTTGATTTGTGGAAATGTTGTAGGCTCCCAAAACATTTCTGCTTACTAAAGAAAGGCGTTTCTGGTTTATGGAAGGTTTTTTTTGGGGGGGGATGTCCACTCAGTAGCAGCGTCTTCTGCGCTTTGACCCCAAAATCAATCGCAGAAATAACAAAAAGAATTCTTAAAAGAATGTACATGTCCTTGGCGGCGACAAATGGTTTATATGAAAAAACAAAACAAGCAAACAGACAAACAAAACAAAAAGAAAATAATTAGCAGCCATAATAAACCAATGCCTTGTGGTTAAAGGTTAATAGAAATTGAAAACATTTAGTTCACATGAAATATTTCAAAATAACAAATACCTAACCATTTAAAAAATCATAAATTCAATGTTTACCCCATAAATCGTGAACCCAAAATGAATAAAACGATCCTGAGTTTCCCCGCCCACAAAAAATCCCCCTTTAGCCATTCGCGCTCCCAAGCTGTTTCGATGACGTCATCGGCAGAAAACCTACATGTACAGTGTACATGTACATTGCATGAATGCAGAGAGTACACGTAGTATCGCACGCTTGCAATAGACCCCGTTGAAGTCGATGTACTAGCTTGGCCCACATGCAAACACAGTCTCGGTTCAAGGTAGAAATTAAAAGACACAGTCCTACTGAGTCTTGAACTAAACTTTACAGGTACGTAGTACTCAATGCCTAGATTATTTGAAACTTGAGTTATTCAAGAGTTTTCTTTTCAGAAGTAGAGTTTCAGTCATTTAGCCATTGAGATATTTAGAAGTAGATTATATTCATAGTTAGTTAATTTATCATTTCTAGCATCATTCAAGTCTTCCAGCAAATATACTTTAGGCCCCCTATATAATTATTTTTGGGGAAGAACTTATTTCATCCTCGTTCTCTTCCTCAACTGTTCCCTCTCTATTTTCCCAACTTTAATTCCTAAAACGGAAGCCCAGGCTTATATTCATGGCATTGTCAATACTGCCAGTGTTAATAGCGTCGGCGTTGTGCCATTTTTGTACTTTGACCAATTTTTTTCTGAAGTAAACTTAAATTCTTAGTCTTTTACAAGCTGACAGTGTGACAAAAGTCCTACATGGAATAACACCTGAAGGACGCGACGCCGGACGTCACCGAAGCGACAGAAGCTGCAGACAGACGCAACGTACGCGAGACGCGTTGGATCAGCTCGATTGTGATAAATTATAACTTACGTCATCACAATTTGTGAACATAATGTAAACGTCATTTTAGGGGGTCTCAGCTGTGGAAAGGTTTCCTCTGGAAATTCTGTACATCGGTGCTTCTTGAACTTGAAACAAATTCGTGTGTTTATTTGCTTGGGTATTGGTGGCGCAGTCTGAAAAAGAAAAAATTCCTCAATTTCCCCCCCCCCCTCTCATTTGATTTTTTTTTCCATTTTAATTTTAAGTAGGCCCAACTGGCAAAAGTATTCATTCTTTCAAATTAATTGCCCCAAAGTATAGCGCACAGGCGATGCCTGATGATCTCACAACTTCCCTACTCCGCGCTTCTTTCTACCGCCGTTGAAATTGCGACCGGGTGAATATACGAGCAACTGTTTTTGGCACTCTTGACAAAACTCTTGTGCCATTTCTTTAATTCCTAAAACGGAAGCCCAGGCTTATATTCATGGCATTGTCAATGCTGATGATCTCACAACTTCCCTACTCCGCACCTCTTTCTACCGCCGTTGAAATTGCGACCGGGTGAATATACGAGCAACTGCACTCCTGACAAAACTCTTGTGCCATTTCTGAAAAAAAGTGCCAAGATCCGAACGTATTACGTGCATGAAGTAAATTACCGGTATTTTAAAAATGTGACATTTTTCGTCCTATTTTTTTTACCAAAGTTTGTTCGAGACATATACTCCTCAGCTCGGTCTGATGAGATGTACATTTAGAAACATTTTGCCTATTTTTGGAACTTGGAAGAAATATCCTTTAAAACACCGAAAAACGATTTGTTGTTTAAAAATAGAAATAACATTAACTTTTCAAAAACTTGATCCCGTAACCATGGAGGAAGGACATAACTGAGAAAGAACTGGCGAATAGTTACCTTTCTCGTACAAACGAACTTTGGAAAAAAAAGCTTCATGAAAACGGACTTTGAAAATATATACAGTGCTTCATTTTTTAAAAATATATACTTGATGGCACTACGGCAGCGCTTTCGTAGTGCCTAACTCGACAAAGAAAATCTTGAAGGTTGCAGGCCCTAGTAAATAGGTCCAAAATTGCCTGCGCGAACCGAATCACGATTTGTAGCTGCCATACTCTCTGATATTAGAACATTTCATGGAACATGGACTGGGTGATTTGTAAAGAAGGAGGATATTGCCAGCTTGTATTTCTGAAAATACCGGACCAAACGTACGGTGCTATCCAAATTGCTCTGTTTTGTAACGGAGTGTAGGCATCAATATTTTCAAAATGGTGATAGGCCTCCTGACTGTTTGGAAGGACGGTTTTCTGTGGAGAAATTAGATAAGCCCCTGAAAATTGAAAGAAAAAAGAAAGATGAGGAAGCTTTAAGTGGATGTGTGTTTTGAATACCTGAGAAACTTGTGAGAAGTTTCCTGCTTTTTTGATGAGGGGATGTTTACTATCGTTGTCTATTGAAGCTCATTCATGGTCGGCACCCTTAAGCACCACAGCCATTATGTCGTGTAT